ATGATGCCATCCACAAAAGGATGACGGCAGAAAGTTTCTTGACCCTCTGTGACATGAGTGGGGCCCTGCTGACATCCTGAGTCGACTTGTGCGTCGGTGCATGAGACCGATGCGTGGCAGGTCGTGGAGTCGGTGCTCTGGTCGCAGTTCGGGGTTTAGAAAGCGAATGCCCTTCGTCCTCATTCATGTTACTCTGCAGAGGGGGTTGATCTGAGGGACTCCGAGGGAGTTGGGCACGAATGCGCTCGTTCTCGGGGCGCGTAGTGTCTCTAGGTCGGCTTCATTAGCGGTGCGCATTGCCGCTAGATCAGTTTCGTGCTTGGCACGCATGCTTTGTAGGTCGGCGGCGTGTTGTTGCCGCATCTGTTCGACCTGGCCGATCAGCCTCCTCAACGTTGCTGCGTCACTATCCATGGTAGTTGAGTGATCCAGGTCGTCTGTTGCGCGTCTGCTGTGGCTTCTGGAGAAAACCATACAGGTGGCCGATAAGAGCTGTCTTGACCGGCCCCACGGTGGGCGTCAAATGTTCTTACCGAAAATCTGCCGTAGAGATGATTCGCCAGGTAAGATCGGGGAGCCTCCTTCACGGGTACGCTGGTGTTCCAAGATGGGGGTGGTACCTGCAAAAGAGACTTCGATGCTAAAGTTAGTGTTTGTGGGAGTATGAGTCTCGTATAAATAATGCACGTACCTTTGTGTGAATTAGGGTTGTGTTGGGCCTTGGGCCTGAGATCTGTTATGATATGATTAGATTGCGGATCTCATCTTGTGCGAGATCTTCGAGATCAGTTATGATCTGATTAGATTACGGATCTCATCTGGAGCGAGATCTCCGAGATTAGTTATGATTTGATTAGATTGCGGATCTCGCTTAGGCCGAGATCTCCCAGTGTGTGCCCGAGGTTATTCCACGCTGTGATACCGCGCTCGAGCTCGGCATGGCAGTACGGATAGTACAATATCATTTCCACATCCATAATTCACACCAATCTTACAATTAACAATATCATTTCCACATCCATAATTCACACCAATCTTACAATTAACAATATCATTTCCACATCCATAATTCACACCAATCTTACAATTAACAATATCATTTCCACATCCATAATTCACACCAATCTTACAATTAACAATATCATTTCCACATCCATAATTCACACCAATCTTACAATTAACACTATGCCAAGACCTCGCCACATCTGACACAAGTGATACAGGTTAATTGCCTCCCACACCAAACCAGGGTCACGCCCTCCCTGTAGCATCACTTACCCAGGGGCCGTGCCATCCCTAGTCATTAAGGAGTACGCTCGTCCCTGAAGCATCACCTACCCAGGGTTCGTATCATCCCTGATCATCCGGGAGTACGCTCGTCCCTGAAACATCAACTACCAGGGTTCGTATCATCCTTGATCCTTTAGTGTGAGGAACCACAATCAAATTACAATCCATACAGTCTCTTGCAATTAACCCTATGCCAGGGCTGCCATAATCGACATAAGTGGTGTGTGTTAACTGTCTTACTCATCCCACACCATGCTAGGGTCACGCCCTCCCTGTAGCACCACTTACCCAGGGGCCGTGCCATCCCTAGTCACTGATGTGAGACACCACAATCACAATCATAATCACATTCATACAACATCTCATCTCATAATTCAAATTCACATCACGTACACAATTCCACCTCACATACACAACAGATAAGCCCAACAAAATAAGGGTTTACACACCCCTCAAGTAATTCACATCAAGATCATTCATTCTTATCAATCAATACAATAATAACATTCATAAATTAATATTATAAACAATGGAATTATCAATTTCATATAACTTTAACATAAACAATAAAACCCCCAATTCTTTCAAAACCTAACTCACAGGCACTTTTCTACAGTTTCGTTCTCCCTCTCAGATCATCATTCTTACAAATTAAATATATATTTCTAATCCTCAACACATACAGAATCTAATGGTATCATTAATTTCTCAAACAGAAATATTTCAATTTTTCCAAAACCTAGCCTACAGGCACTTTTCTATAATTTCGTTCTCTCTCCCAGAGCATCATTTTTACAAATAAATCATATATTCATAATCCTAAATTCATACAGAATCAAATAAGACCAATAATTCTCCAAACAGAAATAATTATAAAATTGCTCATAATCCTAAAGGATTCTTCCTCTATCCAATTCCCTCATGTAACTTTACATATAAATAATTCCCTTTTTCCCCCGTACCTGGATAAACAGCAGTTGAAACTACAACAGGGATCTCTTGGTCTCCTCCTCTAAGTGCCCCATGGTCTTCAGAGAGAAGAAGAGGGGAAGAAGAAAGAACAGAAGAGAGAATGAGAGATGTGAGAAAATGAGAGGTAAGGCCTCCTATTTATAGGAATCTGCCTCAGCTAATCTGGAACGGCCCGTTCCAAAAGTGGAACGGCCGTTCTGGACCCTCTAGAACCAAGCAAAAATCTCAACTGGAACGGCCCGTTCCAAAACCCAACAGAACGGCCCGTTCTACTTTCAGAAAGGTCCGTTCTCCAAACCAGAACGGCCCGTTCTCCAACCGGAACGGCCCGTTCTCAATTACGTTTTTAGGCAAATTCTTTATTCCGGAATGGCCCGTTTCACTTTTGAAACGGCCCGTTTCGGGCAACGAATTGGGCCCAAGACCCAGTGAAAATTGGGCTATTACACTATCGATCCTGATACTCCATAGACGAACCTAAAAAAAAAACACAATCTGTGCTTGTTTTGCAACCTCCATTTTTGTTAGTTTAATCTGGATTAGGAAGGTTGGAGGATGGTGGCTATTTACAATTTTCCTCATACCTGCTTTTGACTTTTTATTTATTTTATTTTTATGTCATGTACGAAAAAATATTATGTCCATGTAATTATTTAAATACTAATTTCGATTCTAACTCGACAATTCCTAAACTCAAAGACGTACATAACAAATAATTAAATGTATATTTGCTAAAAAAAATGTTAAACTTACGATATTTTAGTACAAAATTATGGATTATTTTTAGATATAATATAAAAAAAAAATCAATAATAATAATAACACTTCCTAAAGAAATTTGTTGGAACTAAAAAGTGATGATTGCAATTTTATATTGAGATTTCAATGAGATTAGAAGTGTAACAATTCAAAAAATAGAAAGGGAATAAAAGAAATTGGAAATAAATTAAAAAAAGTTAATAATATACCATATTATAGCATCTTTACATTTAATGTCACTAATATATTATCCAAAAATTATTGGCAAATTTTGTTGAAAATTGAAAATATTATCTATTAATTGATTAATTGTTTATAATTAATTTATTTTTTTATATAATTTAATAATAATTTTTTATTTTTATATTATATAGATTAAATAATATATATATATATATATTTTTGTGTCCCACCAAATATGAGACCTTGGTCACCTTCCAGCTCGTGTTTAGGCCGTCTCTTGATTTCTTTCACTTAAAATATACTACAAAATAAATGTTGCTACCTTTATTCTTACATAAGAAACAAATGTGAATTTTATCTAACTCCTAATTATAAAAAAAAATATAAATTTATTTTTAAATATATTAATTGATAATATTTTTGTAACCCTTTATTTATTAGTGAGTCTTTTTCTCATTTTTCTATGAAAGTGAATACATTTAATTATTAAACAACTAATATTATAAATCATGCTCAATGGTTGAAAAAATTATTCTTTAGATATAGTATCATTAAATACACATTACTAGAATTTTTCTTATTACATGCAATTTTTCATAACTGCGAATTTTTATGAAAAATTCGTAGGAAACGTTATTCCTACAAATTTTTCTGCGAAATTTTATCTGCAGGTAATACCTTCGTGGATAATATATTTTTGCAAATTTTAAAATTAGCAGGAAATTTTCTTGCGAAAAAAACTCGCAGGAAAGTTTCCTGCGAATTTTTTCGCAAGAAATTCTGCAGGAATATTTTTTATGAAAAAAATTAAAGAAATTACTATAAATTCTATCAATAATTCTTCAAATTTCAAATGCTCACAATAAATTCATCCGAAGCCTTTGTTTCTATGCCTCCAACATGTGATACATAATCTTTTAAATTCTAAGATTGTAGATTATAAGGCTAACACTCAACCATACAAATCAACTTGTAAGGTAAGTGTTGCCCCAACTTATATACTCTTTAATTGTTTTATTTTCAATCAATGTGAGACTTGAAGTTTTGTTAAAATATTAAACTTATAAATTTAAATTTTTTTTCCTGCGGATTAAAATTTGCATGAAAATCCGCAGGAAAAGTTACTTGCAAAATTTTTCTACCATTTAGTAAACATTACCTGCGAATTTATTTTTACAAAAAAATCTGCAAAAAAACAAAATAAAATTCTTACAATATTTTTTGCAAATTTTTACCATGGAAATTTTTTTTCCATGATCATTAAAATTGTAGTAAAATTTGTAAGAAATATCTGTAAATTATTTTTCGCAAATAAATTTGCAAAAACTTTCTGCGAATATTTTTTTTTCTAGAAAATTCGCATGAAAATGACACTTTTCATAGTGACAACTACCATCTATATATACTTTTAATTAATTCTATAAATAATTTTAGAATAATTTCAAATATATTTGAAATATATATAGAACAACCATTAAAAGTTAAAACCATATTAACATGTCTTTTAATTCAAAATAAATAATTAACCTTACGAAACGTGTTATTTTTCTTCCCATTTGAATCGATACACAAAGCGCGCGCACCCTATAGAAGAGTCGCGTCTCTACGAAAAGTTATGTAAAATTAAGACACTTCAAAACTATCATGTCTCTATAAATATTGGCGCGCGCATGTAGCCCTTAGGAATAAAGCAAACAAAAAGATTCTTATTTCATGCAAATTATTTTGCCAAAACATCTTTGTCCCAATTAGAGTATAGAAACATAAATATGGTTTCACCACTCTACATTAACGTAATGAACGATAAGAAAAGGCACGAGCATTGTGCAAGCCATGTGGATCGAGATGCAGAAAATGGAAAAGCCATCCTTATGAGCTATCTTCCCAACCATCTTCAACCAAAGCATCTTGATAATCTTAAAAATCTGAAGGGTAGAAAAAATCTCCTTGTTTCATGCTATACTACAGGTAATTTTTCTTTTCAAGTAAAACAAGTTAGCTTTTCGCTGTGCATAAATATAGGAATCACTCTTGTTTCATGCTATTACTTTTATAAATATTTTTTGCTGTGTGCAGCGTTTGATACATGTAGTGTGGAATCTGGTTACATAATATTAATGATATTAATCAGCTTTGTCTATTAAAAAGAAAAAATCCTTCAAATCTTTTGTTGTGTGGTTTGAATATGTGTAATTTTTGTTAGGTGGGAAAAATCCATGTTTATGGAGTACTAAGATCCCTAGAAGGAAACGTTCACGAGTGCTGTACAAGAAGAAGATATCACCAATGAAGAAGTTTCGAAAACAACTTCTCGAATTGTGGAAAAAATACGGGAACCTAGATGAGTCATCCCAGGAAGAGATCTTGTTGTTCAATAACGTAAATAACTTCATACCTAGTTATGAAATAGGCCTTGGAGGTGTTCTTCTTAAACCAGATGATACTTCTACATAGAAGAGTTCATTTATGATTCATCAATATGTTAAAAATGTGCCTTGAGAATCTGCATGATTCTCTAATCTTTCCTTCTTCTTTTTTTTTAATGTATTGTTCCTATTATGTTTCTCAAGTTGGTGTTGTGTTTTACGAAATTATTAGAATCAGTATTCATGTATGAATAGCTAGAGTTATAAATCAATATGAAATGTACAGACTTTGGAAAAATGATCATTCTTAAATCAAGTTCGCACTGAAGAAGGAAGAGTTATTTTGAGTAATTTAGAAAAGTAAATCTTGCATGGACACATATCTAATGCATCAGCTTTATTAATCATAAAATTACACCGTACACTGTTAGAAGTCGTCATTAATGTTGATGCAACCTCTTCTTGATTATTTGGTGTTAATTAGTGTATTAACAGACTTTGTTAGAGGCAAAGGAATATGGTGTTACGGACTTTTATAAACACCTTCCATATATAACAGCTAAATTAAAAGTAGCCAAAAACTTGGGGCAAAAAAGTAGTACTGATCTTAAATTCGAATGTAATGAAGGAACCTAATAAATAAATAAATATACTACAAATGAAAATGGTAAAGGTTGATTAGTGCAAGATCAATCACGTGAATTTGATCATTAATTGCTTCAGTAAAATATAAAATCTTTACGGGATTATGAAATTGACACTAAATTTGTTCTGGTATGTTACATGGAGAGAATTGTAGCCATGTGAAGGTAGCATAATTTCTTAAGTCTTTTTGTTATTAATTTAAATTTGAGATGTAATTCGACTTATCGTGTTGAGAATTGGATAAATAATCCGTAATTTTACTAAAAATTTTAAAAAATGTTGGTGGTTGACTTTAATCTTATATGGAATTGTATTTTATTCTAATTTAAATTTTTCATTAAAAAGAGAGAGAGAATTGAAATTAAAAAATAATAGACATACTTAATGCCATTTTGGAAAGTATAAAACTTTGACAAAAAAAATAATAATAAATAAAAGTTTTAAAAATATATAATACAAAAGAAAAATAAAATATAAAAAAGAGAGAAAATTAATGATAAAAATAACATAAAATTCTCTTTTGGACAATGTCGATCAACACCCAATTTCCTCATCTGGGAATTTGAAAATGCAGTACAAATTTAAGAAATTACATAAAAATCATAAAAAATAATATAAAAATTAAAATATATTATATATATATATATATATAATATAAAATAAAAATGAAAAAAAATAACAAAAAGTGAAAGGTAAAAATAATAAAAATGAGCATTATTGGTCCAAGTGAATAATATAGAAGGATATGAAGGGAAAAAGATAAAATTTTGAAGAAAAATATTTTTTTATGTTAAAACACCATAAATTTATAATGTCATATCTTGAGCTATTATTATCTTTTTGGGAGGTTTTATTTTTCTCCTTGGAAGCTTATCAAAAGATTTACAATTGTTATATAGGATGTAAATAAAAAATGACTTCTATCTTGTGTTGATAAATACTAGCTTCAAAAGGCTATTTAATTAATTATGATAGAGAATATATACTTTCTTTTTGTGTTAAACACCATGGAAATATGATATCATAATTCGAGATTATAGTCATCCACCAAAACAAGAAAATTTATTTTGAGAAATAAAAATAATAATTAATATTACTAAAATAGAAATTTAGAGGAGCCTTTGCTAGCTATTGCTATGTGTGTTGGCTCATGTGTTGTTGTTTGGGTTCTCATCAAGGCAATTACGAGTAATAGATCTCTATTATTCTCGTATTCATCCTCATATATTCAAGTAGATATTTATTGAGAGGGTATATGCATATTTTTTCAATATTTACAAATATTCATGGGTACTCATGAGTATTTACTAAAAAAATATCTTAAAAATATTTAACAATATTTTAATCATATATTTTAGTTATTTGCAATAATTTTTTCTTTTAAAATTTATAAAAATTTGCATAATTTTTTTTAAATTATAAAATTGAAATTCAAATATTCTTTACAATTATACTAATAACAATAAGTAAATTAATTTAAAAATTAAATTTTAAACATTCAATCATACAAATTTAAAACTCAAATAATAAATTTTAAAATAAAATATTTTGATTACACATAAATAAAAATAAAATATAATACTTAACTATTATAAATCTAAACAAAGTTCAAATAAATTAAATACTAGTGAAAACAAGTATCCACGGGTACTGATACTATGATATTCATATCTTCACTATTAATCATTAAATATTTTTTATTTCTAACCATTCATGTATAATCTTCTCACTCTCTCATTATAAAACAAAATTTAAATTATAATATATATAGGAAATGTATATTAATATAATTTTTTTAAGAATAGGAGAATTCAATCTTGATTTTTAGACGTAACATCATTATCGTGATTGTTTTATTATTATTGTTGTCACTATTGTCGTTGCAACTATTGTCATTATTGTCATCGTTACTATACATACATATATACATATACACACACATATAAAGAAGAGATCTACTTACTTTAAGAGTAAGTTTTTGTATACTTACTTCCTTTCATAATTCATATTCAGCATCAAATTTCAACGATCCAACTGTTGAATTAAAATTTTGTAATGTATAGATCAAATCTACAAACTTTTAAATAAATTAAAATTTATTTGATGCTTTGTTATAAAAATTCAAATCAACTTATAAAATGATTTTATGATTACTTGTCAATTTGAATTAATGAAACGAAGTATCAAATAGTTTTCAAAATTTTTTAAACTTTGCATATTTGATCTATGCATTAAGAACTTTTAAATTGTCGATTAAATTGTTAAAATTTGATATAGAACATGAGTTATTGAGTAAAATAAAATTAGGTAAACTTACTCTTGAAATAAGTGGATCCTTTCACACACACATACATACGTGTATATATATATATATATATAAATATATATATATATATATATATATATATGTATGTATGTATGTATATGTGTGTGTGTGTGTAGAGAGAGAGAAAAAGAGAGGAGAGATCCGTTTACTTCAAAAGTAAGTCTACATCAAATGCTTTTATGATTATCCGTTAATTTGAATTAATGAAATAAAGTATCAAATAGTTTTCAAAATTTTAAAAAATTTACAAGCTTAATCTATGCATTAAGAATTTTAAATTCAATGGTTGAATCGTTAAAATTTGATATAAAATATGAAATATTAAATGGAGTAAGTTTAGATAAATTTACTCTTGGAGTAAACTAGAACCGTTAAAAGGGGCTACAAGCAATGAGTCAACCTGATCCATCACGGGTTTGAGTTGGGTTGGACTCAAAAAAATTTAAAAATTTCAATACTGTTGAAAATTCAACCCTACCCACTACAAATCTGTGGTGAGTCGGGTTAGCTCACGAGTCCACTCACAAAAGAATATATATAAAAACCTATAATCCACTTATGCAAAAAAAAAAAAAAACATAGCCCACTTATAAAAAATAAATTAGAAACCCATAATCCACTTATTCATTCAACCAAATGTCCGACATGGAGGGTTACTCTTAGGGACTTATTTTTGTGGGAGAAAAAGAAAAGAAATAAGAAAAAAAATTGTGTGGTTGGACATTAGAAAAAAAAAATAGATTTGGTTAGACAGATATTTAAAAAATGATCTTTAAAAAGTAGATATTTAAAAAAAAAAATATGGCTGCACATTAGAAAAAAAATAGTTTTTTATTATTATTATTTTTTAAATTAAGTAAGCCAATTAATCCAGTTAACCCACCAACTCAATGTGAACTGGATCAAACTCATTTATTGTTAGCTCACTAGAAGGTGAGTCGAGTTAAATTGACCCACTTATTAACCAGTTTGTTGTGGATCGGATTAGATTATCCATTTTGATAGCTACAAAATAAATAAGTATCTTCTCATATATATATATATATATATATATTAATCACCTTTAACCAATAAATTTGTGTACGTATATCATTTGTTATATATTTATTAAATAAAATGAATAAATAAATTAATATTTGACCCTTATTATTGTCATCCAACACCACTACCACCACCTATTATCATTGTCATTGACCGTTATTGGTGTTAGCACCCCTTCTCCTATTGTCACCCACCACCTCCTTATCTTATCACTGTTGTTATATATTATTATTTTTGTCACCACTATCACATCACAACTAATGTTATTTTTGCTATCACAATTTTTATCTCTGTCATTCTCATTAAAGTAATAATAATTTTTTATAATAATTAATATTAATAAGATATTATAATAAATTTAATATTAATTTATTTTATGCACGGTCTATTATTCATCAAATAATGTATAAAACAAATAGTTATCCAATAACTTAAACATTTGTTTTGTGTTGTTTTCCTTCTATATCTTAATACATATTAAACACATCCTCGTATTTAAATTTTTTTAGAGTAATATTTTTTAATAGCCTTGACTTATTCTCTCTATTTCAAGTACTAAGTAATGTAATTAATATTTTAGATTTTATTAAAATTATTATTCAATTTCTTATATGTTTTTATCTTTCATATTAATTAGATTCTCTTTCATCGGTATTTCTTTAATTTACATTTTCTTACTCTACGATATATGTATAAGTATACTATATAAAAATATTTATTTTTTTATTGATATTATAAAATAAAAATTAAAATATTTTTTTAAAACGTCAAATAAAATAAAACAAAACCGATAATAGCTTTTCAACTACTTAAATTTTATTTTAAAATTAAAATTAATGGAAAGTCCACTCTAGACAATCTTTGACTATATTTAATTACAGTACCTTCCCTAGCTTTAATAAATATAAAATATAAATTTTGGTTCAAAAATAAGTATTGCCCTTTTTTTTTTTTACATAAATCAATAAAATCTTATAAATAAATGATAGAAAACAATAGTTTTATAAAATTACCTTTGTTATTAATCTTCTATTTTAGAAAATAATACACGGTAACAATTTTCTAAAAAATATTACTAAGGTATAAACTAAAAATATTACATTAAAAAATTATAATTAATAACACTTATCTTATAATTTTTTTCTTGGTTTAATAAGGATTTATAACTCATTCATAGGCATGACAATCTAACCCTCCCTGTAAGTACCCGCGCGAACCTGTCCCGATTTGGACGGGGAAAATCCGTGTTTAATTATCAAGTTTGGATTTTTTCCGATTGATAAAATTGGGGGCGGGGACGGGGTGGGGCGGGGCGGGGTTGGGGATGTTAATACCCGGCCCTGCACCCGTCCCGCTTAATAATATAATTAAAAAATTATTTTTATATATATAAACCAAAATTAGAAATATTTATATGCAAAAATTTATATTTATATTTTTCTTTTATTTTTTTTAAAATTTGTTCATATTTATTTAAATGAAAAAAAGAAAAAAAAATAAGAGCGGGGGCGGGACGGGAAAACCTAAATCCCGCTAGGGGCGAGGATGAACACCCAGATTTTACTCACAACGAGTATCAGAGACAGGGGCAGGAACGGTTTAAATTTGTAGGGGTGGGGGCAGGAAACGTAAAACTTACCCCGTTGCCATGCCTGCTCATTCATACTCTATAAGATAAAATGTTATTTGTAATTGTTACTTTACGTTTAAATCGAGAATTGAACCCGATTTTTAATTAAACAACATAAATGTTGAATTACTTAAATTTATAATTTTTTATATACCTTTTTTTTTGCACAACACTTTTTGAGGTAAAAAGATGATTTAATATACGGGTCATTAAATTCATTGTTTTTAGCATTAAATTGTATACAAAATAGCAAAGATTAAACAACCAACATTCTGATAATTTTTTAGAGCTCTCCTTTATATTTTAATAATTTTCTGAATATCCTGTGTTGTAAAAGGTAACGGCTGCATTTTTTGTACCTATATATGATGATACAGATAGACATTTACAAGGCATGTAAACTAGCCACCCTTTTCATGAGAATTTAAATGGGTCAATCACAAAACTTGAAGAGAAGACAGAAGAAAGCAAGTGAACAGAAATAGAGAAAGATACCACCTAAACCAAAAAGAAAGACAGAAAGGAAGAAAAAAAGAGGGGAAGAAGCTAGTGTTGTGAAAAAGGCTCACAAGGATAAACAGCCAGAAAGGTAAGGAAATTTTGGAATCTTATGAATTTATGTGATTAACTAATGTTGACTGAATTTTTGTTCTACTCTTTTCACCCTATCCCTGAAACTTGAGTTCTGTGATGTAATTTTTTAGTTGTGGGTTTCATTTCAAGGTTTTTGTGGAGTTCCTTTTCTGATAACTAAAATTTCTATTTGTTTGAGAAAAGGAATTTTACGGATATGGAGAAAAGGCATGGTCCATGCTTCCATTGCGGAATTAATTGTAAGTCCTCTTCTTGTGCTTATAATTTTGTTCTGTTTGTTTCTTTTTCTGTTGAGAATCACATTGTGAGAGTAATGGTGTTACAACTCTATGAAAAATATAATTTAAATATATATTCTTGATAAAGAGACATAAAATAACCAAGCAGATTTTAGTGTGAAAAAGTACATCTTGTGATTCTGAGGACTACCTTAAAAATTTTATTTAGTTGTTATTAATTAATTAATTCATATTAACAATTGATTGTTAAATAATGAATAATTTCTAGCGTAGACAACTCCTATCGCTCGTTGCCTCCAAAATACCAATCAAAAACCCGAAAAATTATACCACCATGGGAAAAAAATCCAGATATTAGAAACGTACATGGTCCACGGAAACAAAATTCTTTCCAAAACCCTAAACCCTAAAAATTAATCAAAAATAGAAGAAAATAATCATTATTTAAAAAAAGAATTAGTAAGATTAATGAGAGCATTCAATACAAGATTTAAGCAAACTTTGATAAAAACCAAAGATTTAATCAAGAACCCAAGAAAAAGCAAAAGTTTTCCCTCACAAACTTCGATGCTTAATTTCAATTAGTCATAAAGTTGTTTACGATGTCTTGAATGAGCCTATTTATTCACCCAACCTAGAGGTAGGGCTTAATCAGAGATAAATTACTTAATCAAGCGCAAATTAATGAGAGTGAAATGGCCCAGACACGTAATGGCCAAACACATACAAATCAGTATTTCATTTCCTATCTATACTTACCAAGATTATTTTTTTTAGTCAAACACAGTAAGTGAGTTGACTCTATGAATTTATTGACATAATGAACTTTTAAGTTTGGACAATTGGATGATGTAAAAGTAACTCAAATTCAATCAATGCATGTGTTAAATTCTAATTGCATTAAATAAATAGAGTGACATTTATGATGATATATGAGAATATGAATTTTAGAAGAATTAAAATTGAAACAAAACATGAATTTAAAAACAAATTTTATGGGTTCGAATTCTTTGATATTAAGAGATATGTAATTATTGTTTCAATAAAAATATAGTGTTAGGAGATAAATAAATAAATAATTTGGTTTTCTTTTAACAATAGACGAATTCTAGTGTGAAGAAGGTAATTAATTAGTATATCTTTCACCATGGACAATGAAAAAAAAAAGGATAGATTGAGAAATATAGTAGAAAAAAGTAAGAGAAAAAAACCCATTGCCCACAATAAATCATATTACCTACTTGTGCACGGTAACTTCCATCTTATCATAATAGGAGTTTGCTTTATATTAGAAAAAAAATAGTCTATGTAATACCAATCTTATTTTCTTTTACACACAGTTAATTAGAAATTGTTATGTATAGTAAATTTATTGATTTTTATAAAATAATTTAAAAACTATACGTATTTTGATTTTGATTTGTGATTAAATAATATTATAAACTAATTTTACATTATTATTGTATATATAGCATTAATATTAGGTCGACTTAGTGATGAGACGAATTTTATTATACATATATATGTGTATGGCATCCATGGAGTTTAACCTTGCTCTATCACCCCTCACATTGGCACTATCCTTAACACTTTCGTCTTTCACTACAATTTAACACTGCAAAAAGGTTCTCACTATGTTGATGTTGCTTTTATCTACTTCATCCATGATGTCATACCAGAACACCTAAAACGCTCAATCACAATGGATGAGGCTCTTCCTCTTCCTCTGTCGTTGCTACTAATTATAACCACGTCCTTATTTTCTTCTTCAATCATTGCTTTGTTGAAGCACACAATTCTTTTTTATCTCAATGAGGTTCTTGCTAGCTCCTCTGCACCATGGAGCTACACTGATCAAGTTGTCGGAAAGTGAAGCCAATCTAGATTCATAGTTCATTGTACTACCCTCCCTCCTTTTATTCTTCTCAATGCTGATTTTACAATTTTCTTTATAGTCTGATTCATAATATTTTTTTGAGTACGTACTCAAATCGGACCTCCTTTATTGCGTTTTAATTACTGAAGTTATTTTGCACTTATTTTTCAATAAAAAATCTTAGGATTATTTATTTTGATAAAGTATGTTTTGTTTCAACTTTATTTTAAACATTACAAGAAAATAGAGAAAATAAAAAATATACTAATTCTCATAAAAATCCTTAAAAAAGAAAAAAATGATATTTTATAATTATTTATAAAAATTGTAAAAAAAATATTATCTAAATTACACGTGACCCCCTAATTTGCAGATGATATTGTCAAGACTGCACATCACCAATTATATGTTTATATGGAAACTAGAGTGTCGAATTTAAGAATTTTAAAGCTTTATCTAATTTGTATCGAATAGCTATTATATAGATAGTAGGATTGAAGAATGTCCCGAATAGCTATATGCTTACAGATCATTAGAAAAATCATAGGGTATAGAAGAAAATAAAATCCGAATTCTTGTTATGTTATGAAAATGCACCGAATTTTGTGTTTTAAGTCATTATTCGGTTGTCGGTAACTAGCTAGTTTTTTTTTTTAATATCAAATTACAATATTAGCACTTACTAATGTTAGAATTTAAACCTTGTGTATAACTTCAACTTTTTAGTATTAGACCGATTTTAGTGTTGTAGTTGTACGTATCCTTAAGAATCATGTACACGTTCTTCATTTTTTCCATTTGAAACAATATATAGAAACAATCGCGTCTCTGCCAAAAGCTATAAGTAAGTAAAATTAAGACACCAAAAAACTACCATGTCTCCATAAATCGCATGTAGCCCTTAACAATAAGCAAACAAAACATTCTTATAGTATGCTAATTACTTTGTCCAAAACATCTCCTTCCCAATTTTTTGAGTCCAGTCACCAACATCTATATGGTTTTGTTATTATTGCCATTTGCCAGATACTCCACTTTGGCGTAATGGACCAGAAGACAAGCCAGTGTTGTGCAACGCATGTGGATCAAGATACAGGAAATGGGGAACCCTTGAGGCCTATCTTCCCAATAATTTTCAACCAAAGTACCTTGATAACCTTAAATATCTGAAGGATGGAAAAAATCCCCTTGTTTCGAGCTATGTCACAATTACAGGTAATGGTTTTAGATCTATTTAAATATATATTTAGAAACATTTTTAAAATTTTCTCTAATAAAAAATGTCTTTTATTTTGAATAGAGAAATTTTAAAAAAACTTTTATATTTTATATCTGACTCTTATTAGTTAACTTTTAATTCCTTGAAAAAAAAATTCTGGTGGGCTTCTTAAATAAGTAATTTTTGTTAGGTGACAATGAGCAACCTCTATGGAGTCCTAAGATCCCTTCAAGGAAGCGTTCACAGAAGGTGTACAAGAACATAACACCAATGAAGAAGTTTCGAAACCAACTTCTCAAGATATGGAAAAATTACAGGAACCCTGAAGAGTCATCCCCAGAAGAGGTCTTGCTGCTGAATAATGTAAATAACTTCATACCTAGTAATGAAATAGGCCTTGGATGTGCTCTTCATAAACCAGATGATACTTCTGCATAGAAGGGTTCATTTATGATATTCAACAATATGTTAAAAAATTGCCTTGAGAATTTGATCATTCTCTAAATATTGTTGCCTATTTGTTTTTGAAATATATTGGACTTTTTGAATTCAAACCTTTGTATGTCGTTGTTGTGTTTTATGAGATGATTTGAATCAGTAGCGAACTCATGTATATGAATACTTAGGAATAATAATTGTCGGTTATTTATATGAAGTTTGAACCGAAGGATCATGCGAGTTGTTTTTGAGTCATTTAGAAAAATAAATCTTGCATGCATGGGCATGTAATTAACACTTCAGCGTCAGACACAATCAATAAAAAAATTACCCTGTATCCAGTCACCACCGGAACCATACATCTAGCTACACTGCAATGTCCAATGTCGTCCTTGTTGCTGAAAAATTTTCTGTTATATTTCAGGGTTTTAAATTGCAGTCTGCAACCACAATTGCAACCGCAATATTATTGTTGCGGTGCTCATCGCAACCACAACGGTCCGCAATTGCAGGGTGGTTTTAAATCCCTTAAAATTCCGCAATTCAATCTCAATAAAACCGTAATAGATTCATAACATCATTTTTTTCTATTTTTTTTTTATCAAAATATATATATAGATTCAAGTCTTAATCTTTTATTCTAATAAATTTAGTCACATGAGATATTAATATAAAAAGAAAGACAACTAATAACAGTTGGTTGAAATGTTGGGATATGTATGATGTATTTTAAGAAAGGAAGAAGAAGACACTACTAGATTTTAATGTATTAGCAACATTTTCTTGTTTACATTTGTTAAAATGTTACTAATTTTCAAAATCAAAGTCTCATATCGAATAAAATAAAATTTACATAAGTTATTTTGCAACATTTTTTTGAAAAATATTATTATAATTGCTTCTAAAATCAAAGTCCTCACATCGAGTCAAAAAAAGTATATTTCTCTTATATCTAATTGTAACCCGTAATTAAAGTTCCACATCGAATAGATTAATGACTCATAAAGAATGTATATACTCATATAGTTATATTTAAGATAAATAAAATTTGATATTCTATATATAATTAGCGGTGACTAACTAAAAATGTCTTTCCCTACAAACTTAAGTTGATAGTAATATTTAAATTTAAATTAATTATTATTTTATAAGATTATCAAAATCTTGGCAACATTATTAAAATGTTACAAAAAATTATTAAAATGTTACAAAAATACTACTTTAGTAAAATTTAAAAAATATTACCTAATTATGCAAAAATATTATTAAAAATCTATAACAACATGGACTATATACAACATTTGATAATATGTTGGTAAAACAAATTAGCAACATTTATACATAATTAAATAATATTTTTTAAATGTTGTTAAATACCATTTGTGTTATAGTGAAATTTTAAGTAAAAAATTAAAGAAAAAAAGATCTAATTATTTATTTATATTCATGTAAATATATAATAATTTCAGTCGCAATCCACCTCGCAATAGATTTAAAAGCCGCAAGCGCAACTGTAATCACAATTTAGAACCCATGTATTTGACCAATTAACAAATCATTCATCTAATATATAAAGGCAAAAAAATTGGTGTTTCAGACTTATAAGCATCTTCCATAAAACAGCAAATCAAAAGGGGCAAATTACGTACTTCGTGCATGAAAGTAAATGTAATACTCTAGTTAAAACTAGCAAATTCAAATATAAGGAACGTGATACGGTAATACCTCATACAATTGAAAAGGGTGATGGTTGATTATAGCATGAATTTGATAATATTGCTTTTGAGAAACTTCTGTTGAAAATATAAAATCTTTATAGGATTGAGAAACTGTCATGAAAGATGATCTAACATAAAAAATGGAGAAACGTAATGGAACCAAACACTAGGGAAAAGCCGTATATTACAGCACATTTATGCTTCGAGTTCGAATGTAAAAAACTGATGTAGAAAGTGTGGGAGTGACAATTTTGAAATTATGGACAATTTTTCTGCATCAATTATAACTTAAACTAATGTAAAATGGGATATTCAATATTAGTTAGTGCAGCTTGTCAATTTTGAATCTTATATAATGCAAATGTAGTTTTTGAATGCACAACTCTAAGAAATTCAATAATTCCCATCTGGGTGCTCTTCTTCAACATTTTACTGTTCTTCATAGTGCAGAATAAAAAAAAATTGTTTTGGAGCTTGTCTTCTTTGTTACCCATAGTTAATCTAGCAGCTACAGTTGTAAAATTTCACCGTTTAATCCGTGTCTTGACTTTTCTTGATGTTTTCTTGTTATTTAGTCATAGGATCCTGAAAATTGTGCTTACCAATTACCATGTTTTTTTTTTTTTTTTTCTTTCTTGATTGCATGAAAAAACAAGCTTTTGTTGTTCTTGCTAATTGTTTTCATAACCGAGGCATATGATGTTGGGTAATCCATGTAGCTCTGAACCTCAATTTGAGATAAGACTTTTGTTGTTGTTGTGTGTTGTTTTCATAATTGAGCCACATAATGCGGTGTGATCCAGTGTAGTTAATTTCAGCCAATAAGAAAAAAAAAATTGTTTTTGCTGGGTGTCGTGTTCTCATAACCTAGCCAAATGATGGGGGTGTGGTGTATGTAACCGACCTCACCTAAAAAGGACAAGGCTTTTGTTATTGTTGTTTGCATTACTAGCATGGTTTTGATTTTGAAAGATGGAGTTGAATTTTATTTTAGAACATGTTATTTGTACAAAGTATGCCTCACTGATGACTAATAATAAGATAGAGTTGAATCTTGGTACACACATTTACAATTATCTATTTGATTCTTGATTCTTGATTCTTGCTCTCAGCTATGGATTCTCTCCCTGATGTCATTCTCCAATGCATCTTGTCCCGAATCACGCATGCTCTCATGACGTGGCATCTTGCAATTGTGTTTCCAAGCGATGGAAAGGACTCCACTTCCTACATCAAAACCCTCTACTTTCCTCACAGATCCTTTGACACCCCGGCCCTTCTCCTTCTGGTGAGGGTGGTGACAACATCATCAAAAGAATGGTGTCAAGAGAGGTGAAATTAGAAGAGCTAATGGTGTATAGTAGGTGCAAGGTCGGATAACCCAGCGTTGAGAGCCGGACAAGAGTGCACCACTTGGATGTGCTCTTCATATATAAACCAGATGATACTTCGACATAGAAGGGTTCATTTATGATACTGATAAACAATATCTTAAAAAACTGCCTTGAGAATCTGCATGATTCTCTAAATGTTGCCTGTTTGTTTTCGAAATATATTGGACGTTTTGAATTTAAATTTTTGTATGTCGATGGTGTTGTGTTTTATGAGATGACTTGAATCAGTAGCCAACTCATGTATGAATACTTTGGAAGAGTGGTTGTCTTTTAATATTTATATAAAGTTTGAACAGAAGGATATGAATTATTTTTGAGTCATTCAGAAAAGTAAATTTTACATTCATCAAATGTAGCATTCTTGGGAAAATTAAAGCATGTTAGCAAATTCAAATATAATAAGGTTTAATATAGTCATTGTTCTCAAATTAACTCATAAATCTTAGATTTGATTAAAAAAAATGATATTCAAAAAGATAATTTTACTACAGTCAAGATTTCGAGAAAGACTAATTTTTAACAAAGTCAAAAATTATTTCTTCCAATATCATAGTACCAAAAACAAACAAAAAATTAAATATAAGAAACATATATAATACCTCGTACAAATGAAAAGGATGATGGTTGATTATAATGTGAATTTCATAATATTGCTTTTGAGATGTTGGAAAATGATCAATCCAAAATTTTTAATTATGAATGGAAAGTAATGAATGAAGAGTCAAAGAGTGAAGAGTAGAATTATGAACGAAGAGATATGAGTAAAAAATTATATCATTCCCTGTAAATAGGAAGACTTTTGATGAGAAATCACCACTTACAAAAGAGAAGGGGCCATCATCACCTGGAGAGAGAGGAGGGTCACTACCCACTATGAGAAGGGGGGTCACTACCCACTTTAAGAGAGAGAGTCATCACCCTATCTAAAAAGAGAGTTTGTGTAATGGAAGAGTTTCTCAAATTTGTCTAAAAAACTTGTAATGTGTTTGAATAAATGAATATTTATTGAAATATTGTCGTGAATGTATGTAAAAAGTGTCAAATCAGGTTAAACTTGTATCTTTCTTATTTTATATTTGTATGTGTATCTGTACTTTAATTTTTATTGTGCATGAAGGAAATTTTTTCTCAACATGAGAAACCTATGTTGAAAATATAAAATCTTTTTATAGAATTGAGAAATTGGCATGAAATCTGTTCTAATATAAAAAGAAAAAGGGAGAAACGTAATGGAACTTAACACTAGGGCAAAAAACAGTATATTGAAGGGCAGCGCATTTCTACTTCGAATGTAAAAAATTGATTTAGAAAATGTAAATTTTGAAATTATGGACAATTTTTGGACATCGATTCTATTATTCTAACTATTCAATGTAGAAAGATGTATTTAACATTGGTTAAACAACAACCACCGTAAAATTCTCTTTTAATTCATCTAGTTTAGAACCTCATTTTCCCTTTTGCACTCTCATTTCTTCTTCCTTTACCCATTATCACGACCTCTCTCACATCTTACCACCATTCATGTGGTGTTTTTTTTTTCTTCCTATTTTTGGCACTAACAAGCTCTCCTTCATTTGTGTATGGTGATGTTGACGTCTCCTTCCTCCTTTTTGTGTTTTCTGCAACTCCGTTTGGTGCTCTCTCCAAGTTAGGTTTTGTGCTTCTTTTGATTCCAATCATAATGCTATGGACCTCTGGTTGATATTGGTTGTTGGTGATTAAGAGTTTTGCTTGATTTTTAATTTTTGGGTTTGATTATGTTAGTTTAAGGGTTGTTTTGTGTGTTTATATGTGAAGTGTTAGTTTAAATGTCTCAAATTACTCATTTTTATTTGTATATTAACATGCACTACAAGAAAATTGTCATATATAATAATACGCATTCTA